AAAACTATGTACGAGTACCGCTTGTCTGACGTTCCATCGGCCGATAAACTTGAAAAATTTGTGGAGGACGTTAAATTTGGGGTATATCCCTTAACAGCCTTTAGTGGTAAAAAGCCACCGCATTTCCGATCCCGGGCTGCTTCACCTGAGAGAGCAGATTCCGTGAAATCCGCTTCTCCAGAACCTGTTGACATTGAATCGCGTCGCATAGTCAATATGATGTGCAGTGTTAAGAAATTGAAAGAAGACAGTAGCGATATTTTAATGACCATTTTACTACGCATGGATGATAAAATGAATCGTCAATTATCATGTGCTGTCACCGAAGACGATAATGCTGCTGATTTAACACAAGAATTGGTACGTTTGGGTTTCGTACACATAGAAGACCAGGATAAAATCCAAGCTCTATTAGAAGAGACTTTACGCAGCACCTTTTCAGAGGGTGGCGCTGCGTATGGGGAGTTCGGAGCACAAGAACGCACTTTTAGTGCTACTATAAATGAACAAAGTAGTGGCAACGGCGGTGGTGGCAATAATAACAGCAATAATAATACAACCAACGTAATGTTATCAAAAGCAGCACCGGGCTCACCAGCCTTAATCACCAATCAACACGAACGTAATTGGTCAGTAGCTGATACGGACGCCAGTATGGCAATGTTGCAAAATCAAAATCTAACACAAATGCCTGTTACCACGATCACGTCACCTGTGCCACCTACAGCAGCAGCGGCTGCTGCTCTCGGTTTGTCTGTAACATTACCGGCCATGGTTACAGCTGATCCTTTGGCCGGTACTGTTATGTATGTGCCTCATGAACAGTTGCAACTGCAGCAACAACATCAGCAGCACCATTCTTCTTTTCCTCAGCATCAACAACAGCATTCGTTAATTCCCAACACCATAGTATCTATGGATGTAGTGGATACTCAACATCGCCAGCAACAACAACAGCGCCTATCAGGTTCAGCAAACCATTCTTCTACTAGCCTCACGACCATTGATAACAACTCGCCTACAACCACCACTACCATCAATTAAAACATAGTATTTAAAATCGGTAAAATATTTTTATTATTTTATTTATACAAACAAACCAAGCACATCTCTATACTCCCACAAAGAGGGGAGAGAAAAATTCAAAGAAATTATATATTCATTTAACTAAAGAAATTAATTCAAACACAATAATCTTCACAAGCAAGAAGAAAGACTACATTGACGACTGTTAACAACAAATAAGTAAATTTTGAGGTGCAGCGTTGTAATTATCGACAGATGCGAATATGATTAGTATTGTAAATTGAGTAAGAAACTCATTTTACGGTTTCTTTACGAAAGCAAAGGAGGGTGCAAAAAAGCGAGAAAAATGATTTGTAACTAATTGTTAACAAAAAACTATGCATTGTTAACAGAAAACAAAGAAATTTTTGTTACTCACTTCTTGCATGTTGGTTGTTGTAACTGTTATATTAATGAGAAGATGTCGATGGTGATGATAGTAATGATGTATGATTATCACATGCTATAATTATTTTATATAATGTAAACTTTTTTACGATTTTTTTTGTTTCGATTAACACAGGAAAGGAATAAAGTTTTTTAAAAATTGTATACTATTCTGAAATGCCCGATTGATACATAAAACTAAGACGAAAAATTAAAAAGAAAATCGTGATTCGATATTGAAATTAAGCAAAAAATTTGGCATAGGAGAAAAAGACAAAAAAAGGCTTCCAATTACTAAATAAACTTAATGCTGGCTAAATAATTATTTCATCCAACCTACGCGAACACTAATTACATTATAAAAAATTCAAGCAAGTAAATACAAAGATCTTGAAGATTAGAATAGACTGAGAGCTGTTCAAATAATTGAGAATATACACATAAATATCAGAAAAACTCTAAACAATATCTTTGTAGCTAAAAGCCAGAAATAAAACGTATGCAATCAAAGTAACGTAAATAGCAAATGCAATTCAGATATCCTGCGTATGACACACATATATAAGCTGACATATTACAAACAGATTTGATGACTGTGACAACACTTCATTTAATTTGCTGTGCTTATAAAAACATATTAATTAAATATAAAAGAAATTAGGATTAAAAAACAATTTTCCTGCTTAAGGATCAAATATGTCAATGTATTAATAATGATAATTATAATTATGTAAATGTGAAAAAGTACCATATTTAAGTGTATTTATTAAAACCTTTAGTCACTTTCCGAGAAAAGAAGACAAGCAGAAATAAATTTAAGATAAAATTTTCAAAAAAAAAATAAACTAATTGAAATCATAAACAAAAGTATTATATCAATTGTAAACAAAGGAGTTATATTCAGCTTGAACCAAATCTCTCTTAATTCATGTACGGTGTATAACCTACCAGATAGAGTGAACTTTTACTCTCTTGCGCATGTCGCGTATATTTAAAATATGTTAAGACTTGGCAGCACTTTGCGAATTTTTGCATAAGTTAAAAGACATAGTCCATAATTTTTTAAATGTGGATTCAAACAAACAACGATTAAGTTTACACGTACAGGTCTTCTTCTCGGTGCTCATATATTGTACCGGTCTTCTTCTTGCTGCTCATAAATATATTATGCAAGTCTTCTTCTTGCTGCTCATAAATATATTGTACAGGTCTTCTGTGAATTTCTTTGTTATTAGGTGAAAGAGCGATGAAGAGTAGCGCCGGAAAGAATCTATACTGGACTTATCCAAATATATGCAAAAACAAGTTCTAAAGGTTATGATGCCCTGCTAAATCTGGTGTTGGACAATACCATCGAATATTTGCGAGACCCCGATGAGCTGTTTAAACCTTCACAAGAGACGCGTATTTTGGGATTAGTAGTTTGTCACAGTACAGCTTTAGTATTAATATGTCTGCAAGGTGGTGTGGAAGTCATTTGCAAACACCACCTAAATCACTACTGTTGGCCCAAACCGAAGATTACATAGAATATTCGCGTAGCGGCAAAGTCATTAAAGGAATAGAAAAACCAAAAGCTCGTAGTATATATGAGGAGGATATTTATCTTAGTAATATATAAACTGGGATTATCTGGGAAAAATGATAATCTCATATTAATTCTTTCCATATATTCATACAAGTGCTTGAAATATAATATATAATCTTGTATATATAAATGTATAAAAAATATGCATTCATCTCCCCTTGTACGTCTCCTGAATAGTTTTATACAATTTTTATAGGTGTGGCATTCGATTTTCCCCTATTTTGAAAAATTTGATATTAAGTGGGCGCCGACTGGGCTTTCAAGTCGACATATATTTGACGTATAACACCATCTTCAAAACTTGCAACCGATAACGATATTCATAAATAAAACCATATGAGATCAATGCCCGCTTTATCAAACTCCTTTTGCAGTAGCAACATTTTAGCTTCAAAATCATACACGGAAATTTTACCATCTTTACCTAAAGTAACAAGAAGAGGTAAGGTAGAGCTAACTTGAGAAGCAACAATTTTGCCGTCATGGCAAGAATATAGTTTATAAGAAGGGTTTTGTTCTTCTCTAGGATTGAGTTCACAATACCAAATGCCACCTAAACCTATGATAAAGACAAATACCATTCCAGGAATCAAACTTTGATTTTAGCTATACGACCGTAAGGCGTATTGACTCATGAAGCCTTTTGATACAATTTTAGGCAAAAAAATTAGACAGAAAGCAAACTTTATCAATATGTATCAAAGACTTTCACTTTCACTTTTTGAATAGGTGTAAGTTGGTCTCTCCGTCCATCCCCTACTCACCTTAGTCGCAATTTTCGAGATATTTTGATGAAAGGAAAGCTATCGAACCACTTTTTCAAGCAATTTTCATATACCACCTCACTTCGAAAAATCGTGGTATAAATAACTGTGTTAAGAGAAGTGGTGTAGGGTATTAAATAGTGTTTTTACTTATATTTGCTATAGTAAGAAAAGAAAGGTACTTAGATTGGGAGACAAAACGATAAATGGTAAGTATGAGAGAAAGATAACCACTCCGCTCAGCGAGAAGCAAATTTAAGGTTGTTTAAGATTGTTTAAGACTGTTTAATAAGGTTTTCAGGTTTAACTCTACTCAATTTTGAAGTGTTTAAAACTCTTTAAGACGAGAGATGTTAAAAATGTACATTTCTTGATTTCTCATTACTATACTAGTAGGATATTTAATATTTATATTATTTTTTAATAAATTTTTTTAATCGATATCTGACCATGTAGGTCAAACAATTGAAATTAGTTGAACCATTTTACCCGCAATTATTTTATAATTTATTGCTTTCCCATCTCTATAATTATTATATCTACTTGACGACATTAATGAACCTTCTATTACCTTAAAAACTATTGGACACCAATGATATTGAAGTTATGAATATTCAGATTTTATAGATATTGAATTTGATTCTTATATAATGCCTTCAAATGAATTAAATATTAATAGATTCCACTTATTAGGCGTTGATAAATCCTCCTATTAGTAAGTCTATTACTCTAAGTTGTGTCCTAAAAAAAATATCAAAAACCGCTTATTTTAAGATGTTCCATGGCGACGGTCGTATCTCTTAGTGGGATATAATCAAACGCACCTGTAAAAACATAGTGACTACCGTGAACTGCTCTCATGGGCTGTACTTCCCAGAATATGTTTAACACAAGATATTTACAGCGCTGAAGAGTCTTAGAACGTTATGCTGGAGTTGGTTATATACAAAGATATAAAAAGACGCTAAAAATGCTCCAAATGAAAGGTTTTTAGATTAATGTAGTGGAAAGATATCTTTCTTCTCGTTACTAATTGCAGAGAGAGCTGAAATATTTGCAGTACATAAACGAAAACTGTCCCTAATGCCGCTGAGTAGGATTACAAAATTGCTCAACTCTTTTCAAGCGCTGTGGTAATACTTTTCTCTTTGTGAAAAAATTTTTGCAATTTATTCTTTTATTTAATTTCTCTATTGCGTTATACGTTTTTAAAAGTTTTCAAACTTATTAAAATTTTGTTGAACTTTTTGTGTGTTTATTGCTAAAACTTATCATCGCAGATACCGTACGTGTTTCCTTTAAATACAAAAAAAAAAAAACAATTAAAAACATTTTCTTCAGTAGTTTCCCAAACCTTTTCAAGTGAGTAGTTATTTCACAAATAATAAACAGTAGACAACCATAAGGCATAATGGCCCCGGGGCCGCCAGATAAAAACTCGAATAGATTTCATCTATTAGCTGACACTTCCCCCCTAAGAAAAAAAGTAAAAATTCCGATTTTCCGGTGTTGCCAATCTGTGACATAACTCCTATTGATAACAAATATATTGTTATTTCTTCAACCGATGCTAGAATAACAATTTCCCAAATTATCCCTCTTGCTATAAAAAAAGCTCTGGATAGCATTACAACATACATCGACTCCATTACGATTCTACGCGATGGGAATTTACTGGTCCTCGCTGGGAGCCCGCGCGCAACCGAAAAGCTCATAAAGTCCAAAACTTTAGCTAATCTATGTGCTATTTCCGCTAAACTGCATGAGAAACTTAACTCAGTTAGAGGCGTAATTTATGCCCCTTGCTTAAAGCATGTGCCGGAAGATGAAATTGTCCGCGAAATGGGCAATCAAGGAGTGACTGAAGTATATAAATTAACCAAATTAAATGACGATGGAAAAACCCGCTCTCCTACAGGAAGAATTATTTTGACTTTTGACCGCTATCGACTACCGGAAACGGTTGATGTAGCTTTGTACAAATGTAAAGTAGAACTCTACATTCCAAATCCCATGAGGTGTAAAAACTGCCAACGCCTGGGTCATACTGTGGTCTTCCTCCACATGCTGAAAGCTGTACCCGTAGTTTCTGGATAAATTGCAATGATCAACACTCAGCTTTAGTCAAACAATGCCTACGTTTTGTACAGATGCGTGAAATACTAAAAATCAAAACAGAAAATTACTGTAGCATGAGCGAAGCGCGACGCACATACCGGGAAAGAAATCCATCTGTAGCCCAAGGAATTGGCAAAAGTAATACCTACGCTGCTGTTGCCTCGCAAAACAAGCCTAGTAAGCCTTTAACTCCAACTCCCTGCAAAGAAAAACCTGTTCCCCCCTTAACCAAAAATTATATTGCGAAACCAATCACATCACCCGCCAAAGATACTATTGAAAAAACTAAAACAACACCAAATATTGAAAAAATTGAAACAACAACATATATGCTAAAATCCAATATACTAAACTCTCCAGAATTTCCAGCTCTCAACTTTACTCAACAAACTACAAATGGTAATCAATCCATTCTTTCATCCATTAACCAACCTTCAATTTCAAATTATTCACGTGCGCTCACTCGTTGCGCTTCAAATGTACCAAACTACCTAAGTACAGATTATTCTGCTCGTAAGAATAAATCACTAACGAAAAATTCCTATGGCGACCTTCTCGACGGAGACGCTGACATGGCAACCTAACCCTCCTCCCACTCTGCTTCCATGTCATTACAATTAAATAAAGTTTTTAAAATTCTACAATGGAACATTAAGGGACTTATTAATAATTTTGATGAACTCCGTACACTCATAAATGATTTTAATCCAATCTTTTTATCGCTTCAAGAAACCCATTGTAGAAGCTCTTTTAATCCTA